ATACCTTGTAAACTTTTGATATTTTAATAACAAATAACTTTCTATTCAGTTTATAACTGACAACATATCAAGACTCCAGTGGTTAGAATCACTGATCTATTTCAACTCATGTGTAACAGAACACTGGTGTGCCACAAGAATTTTTAAAACTAGTTAGTCGGGAGCACTGACTCTTTTTCCCTTAGATTCTAAAATAAGAGAATGACAACAGCTAACACAACAATAGCCATCTGGTGTTAAGGAATCAAAATTATACAAATTACACAAATTTTTGTCAGATTGGCAAAAGACATATTTTTTGGTGTTTGGCAGAATCTTAGAAATTAGTTTATGCGTGCCATGAAATGAAAATGGTTGAAAATTGTTGATTTAGACCACATGGCAAAATGTCTCATTTCTAACATGTACTTAGTTTTTTTTTTTAATTTATTGATTGAACCTATACTTCTGATAGATCTTCTCTCGTTTATTTTGTGTTTCATGTAGAGCTTAGTAGGCACTTGCTAAATATTTGTTGACTAAAATAAATGAATGGTTAGAGCATTGGCCCACAGACCAAAGAGTCTCTGGTTCAATTCCCAGTCAAGGACTCATACTCAGATGCATGTTCAATCCCTGACTCTGGTTGGGGCATGAGCGGGAGACGACCAATCAATGTGTCTCTCTCACATTAAAGTTTCTCTCCCTCTCTCCTCTCTCTTCTCTCTTCCCATCTCCCTGCCCTCCACTCTGTCCAAAGATCAATGGAGAAAATATCCTTGGGTGAAGATTTTTTTAAAAACAGAATGAATGTACTGTGGCCCATTTTCAAAGACTCCTGGCTATCTGTGAATGTCCATTAGGCTGGGGCCCACAGTTAGAGAATAATCTGAGATGAATGAACTTCTCAGGGCATCTATTCTAATTTCTGTTTTACATCATAAACAAATGCCTACCCAAATGGAACAATTTCAACTCCATTCTCCTCTGGCTTTTAAGTCATGAAAGTAAAAAGCTTAGAGCCTACTTTAGTAATAGGTTCCTTGCAGCATTTATTCCTCCCAGTACAAGCTCACAGTAATGTGACCTCTATCATTACTAAAAATTCTCTTGGAAAACAGACAGTGGGGCCTAGCCAGCATGACTCAGTGGTTGAATGTCGACCTATGACCCAGGAGGTCACGGTTCAATTCCCGGTCAGGCCATATGCCCCAATTGCTGGCAATACACTACAGTGTGGAGCATGTAGGCAGCAGATCAATAATTCTCTTTCATCAATGATGTTTCTCACTCTCCTTCTCCTCTCTTCTCTGAAATTAATAAAACAAATTTTTAAAAAACAGGCAGTGGGGTTTGGCTCAGTGGATAAAGCATCAGCCTGGGGACTGAAAGAGCATGTACTTTGGCTATGGGCACATCCCCAGAGGGGGGTGTACAGGAGGCAGCTGATTGATATTTCTCTCTCATTGATGTTTCTAGCTCTCTATCCCTCTCCCTTCCTCACTGTAAAAAATCAATAAAATATATTTTTAAAATAAAAAACAGGCAGTAGTTTCAATATCATTCCCTAGAAAATCCCCTGTGCAATCTAAAAGAGCAAAAGAATATATAAAATCTTTCCATTTTCCTTTCCCAAGACTCACCTGTCCCATCCTCACTTTACCTTATTTATAGTCTCTACACAAACCAGAGACACTGCTAAATTAACAAAGACAAATAGTGTTCCTCCCTCGCTCCCCCTCCCTCTTTCTCTCTCTTTCTCTCTCTCAGAAAGAGGTAGCTCAACACCCCACAAAATACACAAACTTCAAAACGCAAGTGTCGGACCAAGCACAAAACTATCTCAGGTTCGACTCCAGGCCCAGGGCACATACCTGGGTTCTAGGTTTAAACCCTGACCCCAGTAAGTATTCAGGAAGCAACCAATCAATGTGTCTCTCTCACATCAATGTTTCTCTCTCTCCCCATCCCTCCGCCCCTCCACTTTCTTTTTTTAAAAAGGGGAGAAAATGGGAAAATATCCTCGGTTGATATTACAAAAATATCCTCTTGTAATATAGTGTCACCAGGAAACCTGTATTACAAGAAAAACTAAAGGAAAAAAATCAGGCACTGGATTTAGCCTGTAATCTAATGTCCTCACTCCTCTCATCTATACAGCCTATTTTCTAGTGATGTAGAAATAATTCATTGCCAATTTCCAGTGATATCTAACATAGCTCCACCTTTAAGACAACATAATTAAGAGCTTAGTCTGCTGAGTTATAATGAATATAGCTATCATCAAGAGCAGTGGTCCGGTAGTCCATGAGATAAAAAAGGTTGGTGACCGCTCATGTAGAGCTCTAAGCTCTGAGATTGAATTTCCACTTCATTTGAACATTAATTCTAATAATTTCCCCCACATGACAGAAAGCAGGCTGGGAGGAGAGGATCTCTGCCACAGAGAGGAGACTCAACAAGAAAAGGGAGATTACTTGCATCCATGAGACTAAGGCACAACACTCTGACCTAGTGGGACAAAAGACCAACATAATAGAACCATGGATGATCCAGGAATAAATATCTCAATACACTATTTCAAAGAACTATTCTGCTACGTTAACCAGAAGGTCTAACATAACATATTTACAAAAGTCTAATGTAAACCCACAAGCTAGAAGAGAAAATAACAGAAAAAAATATTCACAGAAATGATGGCTCAAATTTGATGATCAGGCTCAACTGAAAGTCAAGCAGGTTAAGTACAAAAATAAAACAAACCTAAACATGTCAAACTGCTGAAAAACAAAGATAAAGAGAAAAATCTTGAAGGTAGCCAAAAAGGAAAGAACACATTACAAACAAAGAAGCATTGATATGAATGATCACTAACTGCCCGTCAGAAATAATAGAGGCCAGAGGACAATGAGTACATCTTTAAAGTACTTCAAAAAAAAAAAAAAAAAAAAAAACCCTGTAAACCTACAATCCTATATCCAATGAAAATATCCTTCAAGAATGAAAGTTAAATCAACTCATATTCAGATAAACAAAAACTAACACAATCTGTCACCAGGAAACCTGTATTACAAGAAAAACTAAAGGAAATTTTTTATGCTGAAAGAAATCTTTAGGAAGAAAGGAAGACACTGAAAATAGTAACCATGTATATAACACTACATCTTTTGTCTTCTTTAAAATATATAATTGCTTACAGCAAAAATTATAATATTATACTGTGAATTTTATAGTATGTGTAGATAAAATTTATATAACAACTACAGCATAACGGGGGGTAAATGGAACTATACAACGTTTTTCATAAAGTGACTCAATATTAATTAAATTGTAAAAAGTTAAGAATATAAGTCAGAATCCCTAGAGTAACTTCTTAAACAAATGCTAAGACGTATAGCTAAAAGCTAATAGATGAATTACAACGAAATTCTGAAAAAATATTCAACCTAAAAAAAAAAAAAAAACAGAAAAGAACAAAACAGAGGATAAACAGAAAACAAAAAGCAAATAGTAGACCTAAAAACAACGATATCAATAATTATACTTAAGTAGACTTAAAGATAGCAATTAAAAGCAAAACCTAACTATATTCTAACTATAAAAGACACACTTTGAATTTAAAAACACACTTATGTTAACAGAAAGCGTTCAAAATGCCAGGCATACAGTAAGAGAAAGCTGGTACCTGCACTAATATCAACTTCAAGTCATATGCTATTATCAAAATCAAAGTGATATTTCATATTACAAAGGGGGCAATTAATCAGGAGGACATAAAAATTATAAATATGGCCAAAACCGATTTGGCTCAGTGGTAGAGCGTTGGTCTGTGGACTGAAAGGTCCCAGGTTCGATTCCGGTCAAGGGCATGTACATTGGTTGTGGGCACATCCCCGGTAGGGGGTGTGTAAGAGGCAGCTGGTTGATGTTTCTATCTCATCGACGTTTCTAGCTCTCTATCCCTCTCTCCTCCTCTCTGTAAAAAATCAATAAAAAATATGTTTATAGCCGAAACCGGTTTGGCTCAGTGGTAGAGCGTCGGTCTGCGGACTGAAGGGTCCCAGGTTCGTTTCCGGTCAAGGGCATGTACCTGGGATGCGGGCACATCCCCAGTAGGGGGTGTGCAGGAGGCAGCTGGTCGATGTTTCTCTCTCATCGACGCTTCTGGCTCTCTCTCTCTCTCCCTTCCTCTCTGTGAAAAATCAATAAAATATATATATTTATATTTATAAATAAATAAATAAATAAATAATAAATTATAAATATGTAAGTGCTTAGTAACGGAACTCCAAAATACATAAAGCAAAATTGACAGAGTACATTATCTGACCACAATGAAATTACATTAGAAATCAGGCCGAAACCGGTTTGGCTCAGTGGTAGAGAGTCAGACTGCGGACTGAAAAGTCCCAGGTTTGATTCCAGTCAAGGGCAGGTACATTGGTTGCGGGCACATCCCCGGTAGGGGGTGTGCAGGAGGCAGCTGGTCGATGTTTCTCTCTCATCGACGTTTCTAGCTCTCTATCTCTCTCCCTTCCTCCTCTCTGTAAAATATCAATAAAATATATTTTTAAAAAAAGAAAGAAAGAAATCAGTAACAGCAAGTTTCTTTAAAAAAAACACCAATACTTAGAAATGAAACACATGTCCTAAGTAACCCATGCAAAACAAATAAGTCACAAAATATTTGAATTGAATGAAAATAGAACATAACAAAATGTGTAGGATGTAGCTAAAGCAGTGCTTAGCGGAAAATTTATAACTCTAAATTTTCCAGAAATCAATGACATCTAAAAAAGACAAATAGAGAAAGATAGGTTGGTTCTTTGAAACTATCAAACAAAATTGATAAACCACTACCCTACTAATAAAGAAAAAACACAAATTAGCAATATGAGAAATGAAAAGATATAACATTAAAATAAGGAAGTATTATTAATAAAAGGTTAAAAAAACATTAATTATACTTCACAACCAAAAGTATATATTAGGAGAGAATTATGTTAATTCTGAATATGAACCTGCCACAGCAGAAATCTCTTGAAACTCAGCAAGGGGAGAAGCCGGTTCTGTTTTCATAGCGTTTTCTCCCATTGACTTGCAGTTCAACTCCAAGTCTGTAACCCCCAATCCATCTCCCAGGGAGTGGCAAGTTAGTGCAGATGATATCTGTCCAGCTTCCAAAGGAGATTTCAACTGACCTGGATGGAAAAAAAAAATATATATATATATATATATGTGGGAAGCATATACATGTATATAGTCTGGGTACCAAAAGTACCTCAATAGACTAAGAAAGCCACGGACTTTTTAGAGGAAGCCATTCATCTCACAGCATAAAAGTATATATTCACAGGCTCTAGCACATATAGCCAGGGCTGGAGCATCTCAAAAAGACTAATAAGACGTTAAAGTGGCTCTAACCGGTTTGGCTCAGTGAACAGAGCATCAGCCTGCAGACTCAAGAGTCCCAGGTTCGACTCGGGTCAAGGGCATGTACCTTGGTTGCGGGCACATCCCCAGTAGGGAGTGTGCAGGAGGCAGCTGATTGATGTTTCTCATCGATGTTTCTAACTATCACTTTCCCTTCCTCTCTGTAAGAAAATCAATAAAATATATTCAAAAAAATAAAAAATAAATAAAAAGACTTCTTAAAAAAAAAAAAAGTTATCAGTGAAGACAATATAAAACACTGCAGCCCATTCAATAACTTAATTTCAAAACCATCTAAAACTTGTGGTAGGTAGTACATTCTTAGATTGGTTCACACCAGTCAAGCATCAGGTTGGCAATGCAATTCCTGGCAGACTTTGACTTACCTTCTTCAGACTCTTTGGAACTGGGTGATGTGTTTTGCAAAGAATCAGTATTAACTGTATCAACCATATCCGATACAACCAAGTCAGGATCTAAGATCTCATGGGTCCCATTTGTAGACAGCCTAGAGGACCGTCTCCTTGATAAGTCTTTGTCAGTGTTTGCTGGGTAGGTTTTTGACTTTTCCTGGGCTATAAACCATTAAAGAGAGTTATTGTCAAGAGACCAGAAGAAATAACTCTGCTACTACAAATTTTTGAGCTAGCTGTCCTCTATAAGGGCTTTATAGAAACTTCTGGAATATTAGGCCAGTCATTAAAGGATATATCCTTCCTTGGTTTATGGCTATAAGTAAAGGCACAGTCACTCTGTCACACTCCTTAGTGTATCAGGAAGATGCTCTAACCAATAAAATTCCCTTTATTTAAGGATTCATAGTCTACAAATATGTGCCAATGTTATGTCCCAATCTTAACGTCATGTCTCAATCTTAACAACTAAGTTCTATGTTGGAGCTTCCTAGTATAAAAGTCTATGTACTGACTTTCAAAGTCAATAAGGTTTATAGAGCCTTAGAGACATCACAAATCCTTTTTGGAGCCAATAGGATTTTTTTTTTTAATCAATAAATAGTATTCTTAAAGTTTCACTCAGCATATGAAATTCATCCCTTTCTAAGTCTTTAAGTTTCTAGTGGAATTCAAATCAAATGTAGTTTATGGATATGGAAATGACATCACTGAACTCAACATTAATGGGAGTTTATGCTGAGATTTATTTTTCTTCTAGCAAAACTTTTGATCTAATCACATCCCACTCACATTAGATCCTATAATCAAGGACATGTCTTTGAGTCTATAGGGCATAGGGGAAACATGGATACAAAGGAGGCTAACCCAACTGAAGGCAAGTTCTAGGCACACATACACAGAACGAAGACTCACATGAATTTTTGTCAAGCCGAGGACGTTTTAATGGAACTTCACTTCCTTTTGATATTTTTCGTCTTCTCAATTCCAATGTTATTGGTTGCAAAGTTTGAGAGTTTGAATCCACAGCTACAATGTAAATAAAACCACACAAACAAGGAATGTAATTACAATGAGGATTGAGTGCTGCTCCAATCCTCATTGTTAGATATAAATAAATCACACACACACACACACACACACACACACACCCTTGCATGATAAACAGACTAAGGGGCATTCTTACTTAAGCTAAGAGTGGAGGGAGGTGAGAAATTACTTCTTTGGAAAGTGCTGACATTCATGACCCATCTCTAATCATACACTTCTTTCCTGAAACCCTCTCTTTAAAATACTATATCCCAATATGACTGCTTTAAAATATGAAGGTGCAAGAGCAATATTAAAGTCATTTTTATTCCCTCAAATCTTTATTTTTTTATTTATTGATTCTTAGAGAGAGAAAGAAAGAGAAAGAAACACCAATTTGTTGTTCCACTTATTCAGGCATTCATTGGTTGATCTCGTATGTGCCCTGACCGGGGATCGAACCCACAACCTTGGTGTATCAGGAAGATGCTCTAACCAATAGAGCTACTCAGCCAGGGCACAGCATCAAATCTTTTCATCAAAACTTGACTTATCCAATACTCTGAAAATCTACCATGCAGGCTGATTCATAAAATGTGAACCCTGGAAGTATGGCTTGATTTGTTTTCAATCTCTACTTGCTAAATTAGCTTGGCATTGGTCCTAGTTTTGAGAGACTAAAAAGAATGTCAAAATTTATAACCTCTAAAAACAATTCCAGAAAAATCTCAGGAGGCTATTCTATTTGACAGTCAAAGTTCCAGGCCAGACTGCTGATCACTAGCAAATCCAGCTCTGATATAATTTAGCAGTGCAAACACTAAACCCCCGGACAGTAGTACTCTTTATTTTTAAATCTAATACTTAAGAGGCTCTTCCCCAATCAGGAAAGATCAGATTCCAAAAGGCAAGTAGAAGTAAAAACAAAAGATAAGAAATCAGGAAGTGTTGGAGGGAAGGCAGGGCTAAGGGGACTGATGATTAAAAGGAGAGAGGAGAAAAAGGAAGAGAGAGGAAAGGAAAGACTAATCTAACACCAGTAGCTTCATATCTGCCATCTCAAATAACCAAACAAGAACTGTGAGACTGAGCTCTGAGGAAGCAAACAAGATGAGAGTGCTGAACTCCTTGGCTCTTCCTGTGTTCAACTTTCCCAATGTACCAACATTATTTTGTTCAAAGTGGTGGGAACTTGGAGGTCACACATATTCCAGATTAAACACAAACAACTCTCCTTAAATAGCTCAGATCCTGTTTCAATCAAGTCTATAATCTAGAGAGCTCAAGGCTCCACTGAGTCAATAAACTTATTCCAACAATTTTAAAAGAGGACATGAACTATATTATAAGCTATTTGGCAAGCATTCTTCACTTTGATACCATATACAAACTGGGGCTGACTACACTGAATTTCAGTGTTTCCCAAACTTTTCTTACAGAATCATCTGGGAAGGTTGTTTTTAACAATTCACATTCCCAAAACCTGCTCCAGAAATTCTGACTAGGAAGGAAGGCCAAGTGTTAACAGTAAGCTTGAAAAATACCATTTCTTTCTTAAATTGATTCTATCTGGTATGAAATCCTATACTTACAAAATAAAAGCAATAAACTGGATGGCATTTATTCTATGAGTGAAGTCTGCAAGCTGAAGAGCAAGTCCCCCAATATACACTTAACAGGGGGTACAAGCCAGAGCATAAATAGCTAAAGAAGAATCAGTTTCACAAACACTCAGTTCCCATGTTTACATACTCTTTCCTAAACTGAAAAGGGAGACTTGATTTCTGCCAGTTCACCTTTTCCACTTCTCCCATTTATATAAAAAGGCCTGCCTCTCACTCATTCTACATGATACTGTCCAGAGATATAAAACCTCTAGACTTTCTCAACTAGATTCCTCATTTGAACACCAAATACAAAGGTTATTTTTTTCAATTCTCTCAAGGGTAATTTATAACTATTATCATTTGAAATGCACAGGAGAGGAGTCAATTCATTACAGATCATGGATACCTTGGTATTAGAGTTTAATTCTCTCCCAGAACGCTGTTGAGAAAGCTAGTGAATTTAGGCCGGTGCTGTCCAACAGAAATATAATGAGAGCCACAAAATGCAAGCCATGTACATAAATTTAAAATTTTAGTCATTACATTAATAAGTTAAAGAAAAAAGTGAAAATGATTTCAAGAATACATTTTATTTAACCCAATACATCCAAAACTATTTCAACATGTAATCAATATAAAAAAATTGAAATATTTTACATTCTTGTGGGATTTCTTGTACTAAGTTTTTGAAATCCAGTTACAGCACATTTCAATTCAGACTAGCCACATTTCAAGTGCTCACTAGCCACCTTGTCTAGCATCTACCATACTGGACAGCGCAGGTCTAGGCCCTAGATTTATCTATGGACAATTCCAGCATGCTCAGCTTTTGAAGACAATACCCAGTTACAACCACTAAAGGGAAATGTGCCTTATTTCATCGGGGAAGAAATCAATCTACTTAATTTTCAATCTTAAAATTAGAACTCAGATGTGAGAAGGTCTACTGGAAATGATGACTAATGCATTTATTTTAAGTAAATTAAGGTAGACTTTTTGCCACAGAAATTAAGTCTGATGTAACTGTCTGGATTGATAGAACTAGCTTTGGAAACAATGAAAGAGCTAATTCTGTAATTCCACAATTTTGATGAAAATAAAATTTACATATCTTTTGCAACTTCCAAACGTGAGAGAAAAAGTAGGTATCACTTTCAAATGTCCTAGGGGATTCAGTTTTTCAGTATTCATGTAGAGAATATGCAAGCCAGAATGTCTGAAGACCACTGCCAGATAATCATAGGCATTCAGTTTAGAGATCGTTTGGGAACTCTTCATGCCATTAACTCGATCTAGAGAAGTATTTGACTTAAGAAGAAATTCAGGGTGTGTTTCATTCTAGGTTATCCTAGAAAAATTCCAAATTTCAACTTTATTTAACAACTGCACATTCTTTTCTAAGTCTGTATCCTTTAACCTTGACTCTTACCAATTAGCCATCTCAGCTTTTTATTTAGACTGTGAAATTTTTCAATCAATAATCAGTCTCCAGAGAACTGAATTTCAAATGCACCCATGCTTTTCTAGGTCTTTGGCACCATTTCCTTCAGTAAACCTCCTTCAGATGCCCACACCTTATTTCTCCTTTCCTCTTTCATGTCTCTCATAAAAACTCTATTTCCTGATCCCAGGTTCACTTAAATTGAGATCATTTAAACAGGCACTAGTAAAGGCCTTAGCTTATTAGGTTTTATCATATAAGCTGAAGTATCTAGTGGACAATTATCTACCCCTCAAAAGCTCAATCTCTGACATGTTTCCCAACTTATGTTCATCTGGACACATTTCTCCCTTAAAATTCAGCTTCAGGAACATGATTTGTTTTCAGATCATAGGACAATTCAAAGTCAGCCACAAAAAATGAAGGATTGATGTATAGAAGTGATAAAGAACCACATAGGGCCACAGAAAAACACTGGCATTGTCCTTGCAGAGCCCACTTGGGAAACTCACCAGTAGGAGCTATGGAAGGGGGTCTGCCTCGTTTTCTTTTTGGCTCCCTCAAGTTTTCTTGTGGACTCTTCACAATGTCATTTTCAGGTTTCTTATCCACTTGAGCATCTCCAGAGTACTCTCTGTCATTTTCTGAAATGTTCTCCTTATCTTCCTTCTCGTTCTTGGGAAGGCTTTTCTCTGACACCTTTCCCTTTTCAGAACAGATTGATTTTCCTTCTTTATCAGGATGCTTGGTTCGCTTTTCTGTCTTTAAGGCTTTGTCTTCTTTGTCTTTCTTCAGGTTGACTGTGACTTTTCTCTTCTCTTTAAACTTCTGTCGTTTATCAGATGATGAAAGACTTTTGTGATCTGTTTCTTTAGGCCTAGCGTTACCCACAATATTCTAAAATGAGCAAAATAGCGATGAAACACACTTTGTGATTACAAGCAAATATAAAACCAGATAGATTTTTGCAAACTTATGAAGACAAACACAGACATTAAAAGGACATAATGCCAAGTCACATAATGGTCACCACTAAAAACATCTACCTATAATTTGAGGCTTAAGAACCAACCCTAAGTTTAAAGAAAACAATGATCATTAGATTCCTTAAGATTATTGTCACTAGAAAACAGTTAAAGGGATAGATAATTACCACAGGGTCCTCTGGTGGAAAGTAACCTTTTTAAGAAAATGCCGCATCCCAAGCATGTCTAAACTGACCCAGGGCCCCTCAGAGGCCCGTCTTAGTGTGCCAATGGATGCTGATTCCCTGTGTAGAGTAGAACCCAAACTGATAACTAGAGGCAGAAAGGAAAGTTGTAAAGATTTTCGAACCCAGAAAGAGTCTTTGCTTCCTCTACTGGGTAAAGGCTGGGTGCAGTCCAACAAGCCACCGTCTGTATTCCTTAGTTACTTACTGAATTTTTATCTATCAGGAGGAAGTACTGGTTCTTGGCTACTTTCCTCCTAAATTACTTTCTTTAAAATTCATCTTTAATTTATTATGAATGTCTCATAATAAAGCCAGCTCTGAAGTTTCCAAAACTATAATTGTGTATTTGTATATGTATCTCTCTTCTAAGACCTAAATCTCTATCATATCATATCATATTCATAAGATCCCCAGCACCTAACATCTACTAAGTACAGATCTTTGTCAGAAACAGAAAGGAGTGCCTAAAATATTCACTGAATAAAAATTTAATTTGTCCCATAGGAAACAATAATAAACAAGAAGAATCCCTGTGGTTCAAACTTAAAAGGAAATATTTTTTTCAAGTCCACAAAATTTTGTAAAAGCAGCCAGGTTTGAGAACAAGCATCCCTCAGTAACTGCTGGCAGAAACATAAATTGGTACACCCAGCTAGGGGGAGGCAGGGGGGTAAGGGCTCAGGCAGGCAGCAGGCAATTCAGGTCAAAAGACTTAAGTTTATACTTTGAACTAGAATGAGTTCCTAGAAATAAAATTTGCTAACAGGATAATCAGACTTGTGCATCCAGATTTACAAATACCCTAACATGACCATTAGGGAATTGGTTACACAAGGAAGGATATATATACATCTTATAAAATACTATATATAGCCATTAAAAGCTATATTCACATAAAGAATTAAGAAACTTGGGAAGTCCGCACAAGTGTGGCTCAGTGGTTGAGCATCGACCCATGAACCAGGAGGATACATGCCCAGGTTGCAGGCTCGATCCCCAATATGGGGTATATAGGAGGCAGACGATCAATGATTCTCTCTCATCATTGATATTTCTATCTCTCCCTCTCCCTTCCTCTCTGAAATTGATAAAAAATATATTGGTGTTTTTTTTAAAGAAACTAGGGAAATGTTATTTCATTAAAAGAAAAGACCAAGTTATAGTACAGTAATATACTATATGACTCAAATTTTGAAAAGAAATATGTACATACATAAATATTTAACAAAAAACACAGGATATACATCAAAATGTTAATAGTTAACAGTAATTATATCTAGATAATACACTTAGTTTTTACTTTCTTTGTGCTTTTCTGTACTTTCTTAACTTTCAATAACAAAGTTTTTTTTAACTTCAAAAAATATATAAATGTTCCTAAAATACAGCTTATCAAAACTTTGAGATAGTGTGGTCCTACAAAAGAAATCTCAATCTATTCTAATACTATATAAAAAAAAAAAAAAAACTTTAAAAATTGTCACTTTTTTAAAAGAACTTTTGCTTTATAAATGGCCATTATAGAACCTTAGCTTAATAGGGTCAAAAAGACCTAACTAGTCATTTATCCAAATTATATGTACTCTTGGGGTAAAAACACAAGCAAATAGGCGCCACAGGCATGTGCTTGACCACCCGCTAAGTCTGAGATAAGGTGAGACACTCAGAGGCATCTGGAAATTGAAAACTGAAGCACCCATAAATTCACACAGGGTAAGGTGCACAACTCCAAACCAAAGCACCAAGAGCCTATCAATTAATTTATTGAGTAGAGCAGAATAAATAGTTGAACGTTTGTTTTCTGGAGCACTGGATTTCCATTTGGGGAGGTTCTGGATACAATTTGAGAATTCTGGGCAAGTTCTTAATATGGTCATCTATCTATGTTAACTCCATGAACTGCACACAAAAACTGTCAATGAACACCAGGATAATGTTTTAGAATACTATGTAGCCGAAAACGGTTTGGCTCAGTGGATAGAGCATCAGGCCTGCAGACTGAAAGGTCCCGGGTTCGATTCCGGTCAAGGGCATGTACCTTGCTTGCGGGCACATCCCCAGTGAGGAGTGTGCAAGAGGCAGCTGTTTGATGATTCTCTCACATCGATGTTTCTAACTCTATCCCTCTCTCTTCCTCTCTGTAAAAAATCAATAAAACATATTTTTTTTAAAAAATAAGAGTACTGTGTAGCTCCAAGGGCCAAGTTACCAAAGAGAAAACATCTTCAGGGGTAAAGCCTTATAACTGTATCTATTTTCTGAAGCAGAAAATCATCACAAGGCAAAAATGTTGTTAGGTTACCTTTAAACACATCATATATCATGATCCTTTGAAATTGCTAAATATATGTACAAAAGAATTTACAAAAGTTTGTGATAAGGAGAAGCATTTGATCATCATAAGATACAACAAGTTGCAGTATCACAAAATATTGTCACAACAACCACCACCAAACAGATAACAGTAATAATCAGAGTTTTTTAAGAATCAATATCCAACTTTTGATCTCTTTCCCCTCAACTGCTTCATGAAAACAAAAAAAAAGACAAAAGGGGGAAAAATTACAAAGAAATTAGGCAACACGTCTAGATGGCCCATATCTGTGTACACCATATTTCCAACATCAAAAGCAGGTCCTCAAAAGCAGGTGCTCAAATACATGCCTGGGACAGGAAATAACATTTTCAACGCAGGCACATCTAGCTTAGATGACTGCCAAATCCATGCCAAACCACCATGTCATGATCCTGAGCTTAAAAACAAAGTTAGACAAGGAGAAAACAAACTCTAGATCTCCTCAAGCAGTTCAGCAAGTTTCCTGTGATGGGGGCAGGACACAAAGAGAGAAAATAAAGAATGACACTTTAATGAAAAGATAAGGAAAAGAGATAATAGGTAATGGTATCCAAGTATTTGGCACTTTTGAAAAAAAGAATCTATGTTAAAAGAAAATGGCAGAAAGAGACAAATATTTACAATTTCTGAAAATTTGCACATTGCTTCCTGGTGAAATTATGTCAGATGGAGGAAATAAAGACTTTGCCATCATAAACAAATGTAATGTCTTTATTTGAGAAACATAACTACAATGTTAGTATTATTCATACCACAAAGCACAAAACCACATATCTCACCTGATCTTTGGAAAAAGCTTTGACATGAATATGTTTGACAGTCTGAACTACTCCATCATAAAATTTCACAGTGTAAGTACCTAGAATTCAAGAAGATATCATGATTTTAACTTGCAGTTTCATGAAAGTGACACAACTTTTCAAAGCATAAATACAAGGGAGTTCCAACCACAATACTATAATAAACTTATGGAAATTAAAAATTTCTTTAAGAATCATATGCCTTACCATGTCTAAGATAATAGTATGCCTGCCTTTCTTTTTATCTATACAGATAAAAATTCATCAAAAACAACTCACTTTTATGATGCTTCATTAAAATGTTAAAAAGATGTTCTAAATTTAGACCAAGAACAAAGAGCAGTAAAACAATTAAGAATCTGAGGGAGGCCCAGCCTGTGTTTATTGGGATAGGGGCCCTAGCCGCTTTGGCTTAGTGGATAGAGAGTCAGCACAGAGACTGAAGAGTCCTGGGTCCGATTCCGGTCAAGGGCATGTACCTTGGTTGCAGGCTCAGCCCCAGCTCTGGTTCGGGCATGTATGGGAGGCAACCAATCGATGTGTCTCTCTCACATCAATGTTTCTCTCTCACTCCACCCCCCATCCCAATCTCTCCTTTCCACTCTCTCTCTCAAAGCAGTGAAAAAAATATCCTTGGATGAGAATTAATAAAAATAAAAGCACCAAGCCCTTCCCATCATAGAAGATAAAAGCCAAGCTAACACTTGCATATGTGAGTCTAATCTTCCTTTCATCTCTGTGCAAAGCCTTAGGACTAGTTCACATAGTCCCAACATCTCTGCATTTCAAATGTACCATGAGTAACAGCATAAAGAAAACAAAAAATAGTAACAGCTTCAACAAAAGATTCTAGAAATAAGACTGTTTCTACAGGATCTCCTGTTACAGATACAGACATCAGACAAAGGACCAAAGAGACTGGTGAGGAGGGAGGGTAAGGCAGGAACATAACCTAAGGATATGCATTTAACTTTAAGGAAGAGGAACCTGATTAGCCTGTTCACTCAAGTTAGAGAACCACAGGTCAACAGGAAGAAACAATTCCTCATTTTGTTGTAAATGTGAACCTACTTTCAGTTTCCCCCAAGACTGGGAGCATAAAGCCCTGACAGACAAGTGGTTCTGCCATCCCCAGCACGAAAACAGGGAGCTGGGCAGCCCAGCAAAGAGCTGAGATCAACTCACCAGAGATGGCTTCTGAACAAAGAGTCCCTGGAACCAGAATCCTATCTTTTACCACAACACAAACCCAGGGTCTACAAGGCTACTAGATGTGGCCGGCTGCCTTCACATTAAATGAGGTTTAATTACCATTGCCAAAGAACAACTCCAGATGAAATAACTAAATAATATGGCATTGCCCTCCCCAGTTTCCAATGGTTAAATAACTCCCTCAAGAAACTCTAGTTGCTAGTTATTGGTAATTTAATCATGTCAGATTCCCATGCCAGAAGCTGTTGCTCTCCACTTTGACTAGAGCCCGCCCACCAGCCTGTTCAGTCAATAAATAGCCTCAGCAAAACCACCAGAGAGGATAACAGTGGCAAGAAAAGTAGACCAAGCCTACCAAAGATGAATCTAGAGAGTTTGACTTCGCTATATCCTTGGCTTCCGCCTGGCTACACCAACAATTCAGAATGACCTTTATAGGAAATAAAAGGGCACCCTGCCAGCAGAGCTTCTACTCACAGTGCTATTAAGCTGTGGTGGCCCCTGCTACAGATGAAACTGAGGCAGGGCAGAAAATACCAGGGAAAGAGGGAAAAAGCCCAGCAATGTCTTCCAATACGCAATTGCTGGAATGAATCCTGATTAACTAGAAACTGTATACCAGCTCCCACAGATAAAATCTAACACAAAGGCAGCACCTAAGGGTCATTATCTCATCTTAAAAAATCTGAGCTCCCACAAAGGCAAGTTTTCCCTCACAATCTACAGTGTGGCAATAATACCACCCAACTGTTTCCACTAACCAGGATTTCCCTTCCCCCATGTTCTTTTCCTCCCCCTTCAAATTAATTTCAAGAACCAGTAAGAGAGTCCTAACCAGTTTGGCTCAGTGGATAGAGCGTTGGCCTGTGGACTGAAGGGTCCCAGTTCAATTCTGGTCAAGGGCATGTATCGTACCTTGGTTGTGGGCACATCCCCAGTACAAGGTGTGCAGGAGGCAGCTGATTGATGTTTCTCTCTCATCGATGTTTCTAACTCTCTATCCCTCTCCCTTCCTCTCAATAAAGAAATCAATAATATATATATATAAAAGAACCAGTAAGAGGAAAAGGAAAAAACAAAAGAACCAGTAAGATAGCAGCATAATAGAGGACTTCATACTCAAGAACTAGGGAAAACAGGTTCTGGCAGAAGTCAGCACTCATTTTCAATGTCCTTCAACTAAAATTTACTGGACAGTATTCAGAGCTTATAAAAACTATATATTAGGGCAACAAATGACTGGTTTAGGAATAACTGCCTCAAGACTCTTCTCTCTTATCATTTTAGTTCATGGAGGAAATAAACTGAAAAGATTTTTAAAAACAACTTTTAAAACCCCAGTTTAAAAGACATTTAAAAACCTTAATTAACCATGACTCATAATGTGCCAATGACTTCTAGGTCTTAAGTGATAATTTCAAAAGACCTCAGCCCTGGTCAGATAGCTACAGTTGGTTAGACATCATCTGATATGCCACGGTTGAGAGTTGAATCTCTAGTCAGGGCACCATGCCAAAATCCAGAATTGTGCATGATAGCATATTCTGAGATGTGTTTTCACAGCCCTGTCTCTCACCAGACAACCTGAAGTTGGCATATCCACTAACCACCAATATGTTACATCTCGGATTGGTTACGAGGTATCAGTATCCTGCTCTAGCTCCTTTAAAAAGCAGTACTAGAAAAAGTAATAGGAAGAGTTGCTTTCCTATTGAGGAACAGCCTTTTAGATGGGCTGCAGGGCTGGGTGACAGCTTACAGAAACCTTCCAGTCTGTGCCTGTTAAGCTGTTCATTGTTATAACAAAAGCCAGCCTGGACCTGCTGAATGTTGTATTAATTCTACTGTTTGCTTATAGTTGAATAAAAATAAAAACACTTAAAAGAACATTAACTGTAGACAAGGGTCCCTCCCCACTCCCATTAAGATTTATCTGCATTATCTGCTACTGCCCTGCCTCCTCCTGGTGGCTATCTCAACACCCCAATCTGCCTCAATCTAGGTCTTTGTTTTTTTGTTGTTGTTTTTTGTTTGTTTTTAATCTCTGGTACCAAGCTCTGAGCCCTCCAAATATTAGATGCAAGTAGGTTCCTAATGCCTTTATTAACTACACCAAGATACCCCCACCCCTCTGTGAGACAGTTCCTAGAGTTCCCCAACGCCTCAATTTGCTCTCGTTCGCTGCTCCCTCATCCAATCTTTTTCACCCCATTTCTGTCCTCCATGTTCACTGAGATATTACTGAAACAAAAGAGATATGTTGCTTCCTTTCTGCTACTAATCTCCGACCTATAGTTACCCATGTTACTACTCACAACTTTCATTTAACCGAAGGGGCATTTACCCAAGGGGCAAACACTTTAATGGATATTATTCTGGGGAGAAATGACTTTAACAGCATAAATCAACATAATAGATTTTCAAGAACACTTCTATGTACATGAAGAATACCTGTATTTCATATCATGATTTAAATACAGTAAAAGCAGAAATAATTATTAATCTTGAAAATGAGACTAAAGGCATAAACTATGCCTTTTACTAAAAGGATCTGAGACAGTTTAATAATATATGAGCTTCCTTTTAAAATAAGTTTTCAGGCCCTGGCCTGTGATGTTCAGTGGTTACACCAAAGGGTCTTGGGTTTGATTCCCGGTCATGTACCTGGGTTGAAAGTCGGATCCTAGGGCCCAATCAGTGTGGGAGGCAACCAACCGATGTTTCTCTCTCACAGTGATGTTTTTCTCTCTCTCTAGCTTTCTCTCTCCTTCCCTCCCTTTCACACTCTCTACAGATCAATGGAGGCTTAACAACAAAAAATAAATGAATAATAAGTCTTTAGGTTAATGGGATACATATGAAAAATAGTAATGGGATTTTATTTTGAACACAAGCTTATAAATGTAATTTAAGGAAACAAGGAACTACCCAAAAATTCTTAATCAATCAAAAACTAGAGGATTAGTAATTGCTTGTGCAACTTAGAAAATATAACCCTGCTTTGGAAGCATGAGGGCTGTGCTTTAAGGATAATGTATATCTGGCACATAAACCTACATCTATTAACCCACAGTGTTCTAATAGTTGGCAAGGGGGGTGAGGGGGTGGGGAGAGCGTGAATGTAGCAATAGAGAAACTAAAAATTCTGCTTCATGGAAATAAATATTCATTTTTTACCATTTTTTACCTATTCTCATGTTAAAAACTTCTTGATTAGCCAGCCCAAGGTTCAGCATTTATATAATAATAACGTTAAAGAATAATAACTTTATGGAATGAAAAGTCAAGTTGGCCTTACAGTCACCCATAACAGTAGTACTAAGAGGCCTGACTACCCTAAATATTCATTACAGAGATCATGGACAAATCATAAATATCCTGATAGAAAAAGCTAAAAAAAATATGTCACTGAACCCAGAGTCTATTGACTGAATGTCAGGAGGCTGACTATACATACTATCTCCCTCCTCTTGCCTATGTACTAGCAAAATGAACCTCTATGGGCATAGCCCTTGTCCTGACTCCTCAGATGTTCTAAACTCTGACAAAGACATCCAACTCAGTGCTCTAAATCCGACCATCCCAATTTCAACTAGCAACTCTAACATTACATACCATCCTTAATTACCTTACATCCACAAAGCACATTTTTAAGAAATGTTTGTAACACTTTCAACAAAAAATGTTTTTAAAAAAAATAAAAAGATTGAAGAGCTTTCAAAAAAAAATTTTTTTAAAGAAATGTTTGTTGGCATTCACTTCACTTCTAGGCTATTCACAAGAAAGCAAAAGGAATATTAGGGACTTATTTTATCAATTATATTAGGAACTCCTTGACAGCAAGAATCTATACACTTCCCAGCAGAGTGACGAATAAACCATGACTATTTTAGAAAATAACAACTAAAATTTAGAAAGCAGCCCTAACCAGTTTGGCTCAGTGTATAGAGCGTCAGTCTGCAGACTGAAGGGTCCCAGGTTCGATTCCAGTCAAGGGCATGTACCTTGGTTGCAGGCACATCTCCAGGAGGAGGTGTGCAGGAGGCAGCTGACCTATATTTCTCTCTCATTGATGTTTCTAACTCTCTATCCTTCTCCCTTCCTCTCTGTAAAAAATCAATAATATATATATATATATATATATATATATATATATATTTTTTTTTTTTTTTTTAAATTTAGAAAGCAATGAATCAAACTACCCTATTTAACCCAGCTTTCTCTACATTTGCAATTTCTTCCTAACTCTTGACACAATGGTTAACTTGAAGAGATAGGATTCCTAAGCAATAAATACATACTGAAAACATACTATCAAACCCTAATATATAAAACTCCCTTTTAAGTCATTAATATTACAACTCAAATGCCTTACCATCCTTGTTAACAGCGGTGACTTTGGCTGGATAAAAACGACAATCAGACCAGCAAGCAAGGACTTGCTCATTTATTTGAAATTCCTAGAAAACATTAAAAAAAAACAAAAAGATCCTGTTACTAATTCAGTTTCGCAGGACACACTGGTACCAGAATTCATAAAAGTCTGGAATTCACAAGAGTGGGAAAGGGAGATGGCTACTGGGATCAAGGAAGATATTTTCACTGTTCAGCATTAGGAGTCAAAACAAAAGGGCTGGACACAGGACTTTTCCCATCCTAGGAGGTGTAGGCAATGCAGCATAGCACTAATGATATCCCTACCCTACCACTGATAGTGACTCTAAGAGTTCAGGATCAGGAGGGAATATACCCAGTATACAATCTAGAAGAAAGGAGGCTATTTCATTTTGAAGGAAGAAACATTCATGCCATCTAAACCCACATGTTGAAAGGGACATTAGCCAAAGGAATACCCATTCACCTTTAATATTTCATATTCTTTTCCCACTAGACAGTTTGCACTGATGCATTTTGTAGAATATCGAACAATTAAATTGGACAATAGTGAACAATTCCAAATGGGGAGGGGAAGGGAGAGAAAAGCGCCTTAGCAAGGGTTCAAGTTCCCTGGTCAGGGTTAAAATGGAAAACAATCCAGGGCTGAGTCAGATCCAAAGGCAGCAGGATCTCTACAGATGCTTCAATATCATTTTCAAAAATCTCAAAACTAATACCTCATTCCTTCATTTTGAAATAGGTGAAAGCACCAAACATAGTGATGAAATTTATCAAAAACAGAGTCTAATCAAGTCCAAGTTTTTCAAGGGCTTATAAAAGACCTTAATATGGACCAACCAGTACATGGCTCAGTTGACTGAGTATCGTCCCATGCACCTAGAGATCACTGGTTCAGTTCCAATCGGGACACATACCTGGATCGTGGGCTTAATCCCCAGTAGGGGATGGGTGTGCAGAAGGTAGCTGATTGGTGTTTCTTTCTCATAGATGTTTCTATGCCTCTCTCCCTCTCCCTTCCAATTTCTCTAAAAAATCTAAAAACGTGTGTGTGTTTTTTTTAAAGACCTTAATATGAAGCTAACATAGTACTTCACATGGAATGACTGCTTAAGACATGCTCAAACAGATCAGCTTAATAAATGAACCAAAGGTATACAGTGGTGTAAAAGAGATTTAGGGTCCCATTCATCATCAGTGAGGTTTCAACAAAGTTAGTCTATGTGCTGTCACATTCAAGCAGATGACAACTGGAATTCTTCAAGAGTCCCTCATGCCCTGGAGATCTCAGGGTTGCAACTACAGGCCCAAATAAAAATGTATTCCCAGATGCTACTGATCCAGCACATTGGTTCTGATCCAGCTCATTAGAGAACTTCCCAGATCTATTACTCACAGAACATCCTTCCTCTTCATGTAAGCCTTCTTTTCTCAGCTGTATTTTCTCTAAAGGGCGTAAATAAGGACTGTCCCAGCAGAACCACTCATCATAACGATGGTTCCAACGCTTGAAATGGATAAGTACTTTTCCTTCTTCGTAGTCAATATCTTCTATGTGAGCTGGATACCTAAGTCAGAAAAGAAAATTGAAATGCCTATAAATACCCACCCAAAATATCTAAAACAGTACCCTTCCAAATCTCTTTCCTAAGGAACAGGTTACCAAAGTACTAAATAAAGCCATCATTTAGAAGGTCTATATAATGGTGTCCAATCACAAATTATGGAGGCTAACAGGCATGGGGTTCAAATCCCAACTTTGACATGCCTTAGTTATGAACTATTAAATTAACTTTACAAAGTTCTCTCATGTGAAGTGGAGGAAGGATACAAAGCACACTGGATTGTAATGTAAATTAAACAAGATGCCAGTTCCACAAGACCTGGGCACAAAAAAAAACAAAAACAGGAAGTAAACTTTTAACAACTAAATTACATTTCACATGTACCAATAAATTAGGATGACCATGCAACCCAGATTATATTAGATAGTCTTAATTTTTTTTAAATATATTTGTATTGATTTCAGAGAGGAAGGGAGAGGAGGAGAGAGAGAAAAAAAAATCAATGATGAGAGTCATTGATTGGCTGCCTCCTGCATGCCCCCTACTGGGGATCAAGCCTGCAGCCCAGGCATGTGCCCTTGACCAGAATCGAACCCAGGACTCCAATTTAGAGGCTGAAGCTCTATCCACTAAGCCAAACTGGCTAGAATGAGACAGTCTCAATTTTAAGAATTTTGCAATTCATAGAGTGAAATACCATGCAATTGTTAAAAAAAACAAGATGGCCCTAATTGGTTTGGCTCAGTGAATAAAGAGTATGCCTGCAGACTGAAAGGTCCCAGGTTTGATTCCGGACAAGGGCATGTACCTTGGTTGCAGGTACATCCCCAGGAGGAGTGTGCAGGAGGCAGCTGATCGATGTTTCTCTCCCATTGATTTTTCTAACTATCCCTCTCCCTTCCTCTCTGTAAAAAAAAAACAACAACAATAAAATACGTTAAAAAAAAAGAACAAGATGGTTCTGTTATGACACAGAAAGGTCTCCCAATATGAAATATTAAATGAAATGAGCAAGGTACAGAATACTGTGTATAAGTTATTACTATTTTTAAATGAAAAATAAATATATTCATATATGCTTAAATATACATAAAATAGTTAAGAAGATATACAAGAGCCAAAACCGGTTTGGCTCAGTGGATAGAGTGTCGGCCTGCGGACTGAAAGGTCCCAGGTTTGATTCCGGTCAAGGGCATGTACATTGGTTGCAGGCACATCCCCGGCAGGGGGAGTGCAGGAGGCAGCTAGTCGATGTTTCTCTCTCATCGTTGTTTCTAGCTCTTTATCCCTCTTCCTTCCTCTCTGTGGAAAATCAAATATACATATATATATATATATATATATATATATATATATATATATATATATATGTGTGTGTGTGTGTGTGTGTGTGTGTATATATATATATATTCCTTATTCCTTCACCACTTCCATTAATCCACATTTGACACTTCTAACTCAGGAAATGTCTTGAATTCATTTCTCCTCTTTACCACAATCATTTCTCACCAATAACTGACAGTCCCATCAGGCAGCCTCTAAATCCCTCTGTTAGTACCGGCAATGGGTCTGATATAGAGACACACAATAAATGGTGTCAAAGAAACAAAGTTGGCGGCATAGGTAAACACCTGAAATTTTTGCCTCGCACAACCACTTCAAAACTACAACTAAAAGACAAAATGGAGATCATCCAGAATCACAGGAAGGCAGGCCAAGTGGAAATTCTACAACTAGAAGGAAAGAGAAAAACACACTGAGACGTAGAAGAGGTGCAAAAGTGAAGTGCAGAAGTATGGAGGCGTGCCAGAAAGAACTGGCAACCGAGTACGCAGTTGTCTTTCTCAATCATGAGGGAGACACAAGCTCCCAACTGCTCTGAACTCCAGTTCCAGGTGAGACTATGGGAACTCGGACTAGAGAGAAACTGGATGGTCTGATATCTTTCGGAACTCAAGGGCGGCTTTCTCTCAGAAGTGCTTACAGGGATTACCACGGGACACTGAGACCCAGGGGCCTATTAGGGCAGGGCTGAGGATCAACCATTGCTGTTTGCTCCGCCCTAAGGATTCCCTGAGACCCTGCCCCACCCTAATTACAACCCCATCCAAGCTGTGCACAGAAGCTTTTGCATATGAATGGCTTGGCCCTTCATTACCTAACAAACTGCAGCTGGGTCAGAGAGACCCAGAATATCCAAAAGAAGGCCCAAGGCCCCACAGCAGCTTGCACTGCTTCACAGCTGGTCCTCATCTAGCCACCTCCTAAACCCAAACAAAGAAGAGGAATCTGCAGATCTCTCCATATCTCCTGCTGGGTGGCCTCAGGCAGAGACTAAATTAGCAACTCCTTAGAGATCCAAGAGCCAATGGTCAAAGTGAGACCATCCAGATTACATTACAACTCCTCAGATCCATAAGGGACACCCTCAGGGGGCAGACTCAATGAGCACCAAAACCCCACTGAAGCAAGTCTTGCCCCATAAGGGCGTCTCCAGCACAGAAGTTCTCCCATCATAGACACAGCTGATTTTCACAGCCAACTAGCCTGGAGGACAATTCCTCTCAGTGATACTAACAACAATCAACGCTTAACTACAACAAGACTGTGCACACAGCCCACAAAGGGTACCTTAGGTACCCTATAGGACCCCTAGCACACAAAGCCACTCTATCAACACAGGGAAGCAGCCAAATGTGGATACAAAGAAACAGGTCACAAATGACAGAAATGGAGGAAACTAAATGACTGATATAGAATTCAAAACCATGGTAATAAGGTTTTTCAAGAATTTTCTAGAAACCTCCGATAAATTTAGTGAGACCCTCGAGGATATGAAAAAGGACCAATTAGAAATAAGCATACACTGCTGAAATAAAGAATAATATACAGAGATCCAATAGCAGACTGTAAGATCCGAAGAATCAAGTCAAAGATTTGAAATACGAAGAAGCGAACAACACCCAACCAGAAAAGCAAAAAGAAAAAAGAATCCAAAAAATATGAAGTTAGTGTAAGGAGCCTCTGGGACAATTTCAAGCATACCAACATCAGAATTGTGGGGGTGCCAGAAAAAGAGAGAGAGTAAGATATTGAAAACCTATTTGAAGAAATAATGACAGAAAACTTCCCCCACCTGGTGAAAGAATTAGACTTACAAGTCCAGGAAGCACACAGAACCACAAACAAGAGGAATCCAAACAGGACCACACCAAGATTCATCATAATTAAAATGCCAAGGGCAGCCGGGACCGGTTTGGCTCAATGGATAGAGCGTCGGCTTGGGGACTGAAAGGTCCCGGGTTCGATTCCAGTCAAGGGCATGTACCCTGGTTGCGGGCACATCCCCAGTAGGGGGTGTGCAAGAGGCAGCTGATCGATGACTCTCTCTCATCGATGTTTCTAGCTCTCTATCTCTCTCCCTTCCTCTCTGTATAAAATCAATAAAATATATTTAAAAAAAAAAAAAAAAAAAAAATGCCAAGGGCAGCCGAAACCGGTTTGGCTCAGTGATAGAGCGTCGGTCTGTGGACTGAAAGGTCCCGGATTCCGGTCAAGGGCATGTACATTGGTTGTGGGCACATCCCCGGTGGGGGGTGTGCAAGAGGCAGCTGGTCGATGTTTCTCTTTCATCGACAATTCAAGCTCTCTATCTCTCTCCCTTCCTCTCTGTGAAAAATCAATAATATATATATATATATATATATATATATATATTTTTTTTTTTTTTTTTAAATGCCAAGGGCAAAAGACAAAGAGAGAATCTTGAAAGCAGCAAGAGAAAAACAGTTAGTTACCTACAAGGGAGTACCCATATGATTGTCAGCTGATTTCTCAACAGAAACTATGCAGGCCAGATGAGAGTGGCAAAAAATATTCAAAGTGATGAATAGCAAGAACCTACAATCAAGATTACTCTACCCAGCAAAGCATTCATTCAGAATTGAAGGTCAGATAAAGAGCTTCACAGATAAGAAAAAGCTAAAGGAGTTCATCACCAACAAACCAGTATTATATAAAATACTGAAAGGTATTCTTTAAGAAGAGGAAGAAGAAAAGGTAAATATAAAAATTATGAACAACAAATACATATCTATCAACAAATGAATCTAAAAATCAAGTGAATAAAAAATCTGATGAACAGAATAAACTGGTGAATATAATAGAATCAGGGGCATAGAAGGAGAGTGCTCAGCCACGGATAGGCCTCTGGGCCCTGGGCGAGGAGCAGACAGACCCCACAGAGAGCTACTGGCACATGGATACTGTCACAGGGCTACTAGTCTATTATAATGGCCAAAATTCAAAATACTGATAATACAAATATTGGTGAGAATGTGCAGCAACTCGAAATCACATTCATAGATGCTGTGAATGCAAAATGGTAGACCACTTGGAAAGACAGTTTAGCAATTTCTTATTGAACTAAACATACTTTTATCATAGGATTCAGCAATCACACTGCTTAGTATTTACCCAACTGAGTTGAAAACTTATGTCCACATAAAAACCTGCACACAGATGTTTGTAGCAGCTTTATTCCTAGTTACCAAAACTTGGAAGCAACCAAATGTCTTTCAGTAGGTGAACATAAACAGTGATGTATGAGACAATAAAATATTATTTAGGACTAAAAAGAAATGAGCTATCAAGCCATGAAAAGACATGAAGAAATCTTAAATGAATAGTACTATATGAAAGAAGCAAACCAAAAAGGCTACCTACTGTATGTATGTCCAATTAGATGACATTATGGAAAAGGCAAAAATATAAAGATAGTAAAAACATCAGTGATAGCCAGAGGTTAGGGAAAGAAGAGGCAAATCACAGAGGAACTTTAGGGCAGTGAAACTATTCTGTATATATAGTGGATACATATCTTTATACATTTATCAAAACCCATAGAATATACACCAAAAGTGAACCCTAATGTAAACTATGGATTTTGGATGATGATGACATCTCAATGTAGGTTCATTGATTATAACAAAGGAACCGCTTTG